TGAACTTGCACTTAATAGGCTAATATACCTATCCGCTTCATTTAAACTAGTTAGACCCTAAAATAACCATTTTGAAAAAATGAAAAATGTAACGAAAGCCTTTCACACAAACAATTACATAAAATCGTTACTTCATCATTGGTAATTTTACGCTTACACTCCTCTCTCCTCCACTTTACTATAAAATCAAATCTCTAAAAAAGCAAAACGACTTGCGTCTCTCTCTATACTTTTAAGCTTTTCTCTTCCATGATCCAGATTTTTATGGCTTATCCATCGTCTCTCGATCCCAACACCAACCCTTTCGACCTTCATTTCGCTGGTAAATTCCTGGTGAGTTTATATTTCGTCGGACTCATTTCCAGAAATTTTTACTTCTTTCTGTTCAGTTTCTGCCGGACTTTGATGTGTATTTCTTTCTTTTGGGTTCGTGATTCAGACAAGGGAAGTCTCAGATTCGGATTCGGCTAATTTGGCAAAGGAATGGTCGGTGACAAACGAGGTTAGTTCTTTCATCGAACACTTGGTGTGCAAAACTTCGACCTCAAACTTTAGATGTTTATAATCAATCATGGATACATAGATTCAGTTGAGGAAATTCTCTAGTTCTGCAATTCCGGAAGTTTGGATCTGAGTTAAAAATCTGTCATTTAGGCAAACAAGTCGAAGATTTTTCGTAATCTACTATTAGTTTACTAGCCTTTTTGTTGTATTCAAAGATGCAGTATTGTTTGGTAATGGTGATATATCAATCTTATGGTTTGTGACTTGTGAACACAAGGCATATATATTGCAAGAGGAGTTAAACAGGGCAAATTCCGAGAACAAGAAGCTGACCGGAATGCTATCAAGAGTTTGTGAGAACTACTATGCTCTACATAAGTATCTGGAGGAGTTGCGGAGTCGGAAGAGTCTTGAAAATGATAACTTTCATGACGAACAGCTACCGAGGAAAAGAAAACAAGACCTGGATAGTTTCCCAATTGGACTCAGGCTCGGAACAACCGAGAATATCTCCAGCGACAGAGCAATGGTTTCAACAGCCTACTTCCCTGCTGACAAGTCTGACACAAGCTTCGTAAGCGTTTTTCTGTTCTTGATTATGTTTCGTCTGAATATCGCTGACTAGCATAAATGTATACATAGGAACGGCTTAGATGAGATTTAAGGGTCTTTTAGCCAGTTTGTTAGTTGGGAGGCTTTTGGCTTTGATAGAAGTACTTGATCTCTACAACAAATCTCTACTATACTTAGGGTTCTTCATTGCAATCCCTGATTCAAAAGATCCTGTTTTTGGTTATATAGAGTCTTGATCTTATCAATTGCCAATTTACGAATGTTCTATGGAATACTTGTAGACTGTGAAAGATGGATATCAATGGAGGAAATATGGGCAAAAGATTACGAAAGATAATCCATGTCCTAGAGCGTACTTCAGATGTTCTTTTTCACCCTCTTGTCCAGTCAAGAAGAAGGTAATTTTTACATTGAACTCCGGTTTAAACTTTGTAAAAGAGTTATTCGATATTTTGCAATCTAATATAATCCCTAGTGATGTGCAGTGGTGATGTATTTGTGTGTGTGTGCGCTTGTTCAGGTGCAAAGAAGTGCAGAAGATCAATCTTTCATGGTAGCCACTTACGAAGGGACACATAATCACCCGGGCCCACATGCGAGTGGGTCGAGGACAGTGAAGCTTGATCTAGGGCAAGGTGGTCTTGGAGCAGTTGAGGAAAAGAAAGAGAGAGGAACGATTCAAGAGGTTTTGATGCAACAAATGGCCTCTTCGTTGACCAGTGATCCAAAGTTCACTGCAGCTCTTGCGGCTGCTATTTCAGGGAGATTGATAGAGCACTCAAGAATATGAAAATTTCTGTTGAATATATATGTATTTTTGTTCTGCTTTATTCCTCATAAAAGGGAGGGATTTTGGATTTGATCTTGCTTTAGGAGACGAAGACGTCAACTTTAGTGTGTGTAATTACATCAAAACAAAGTATACAATG